GCAAGACAAGAGGCTTTAAGTGCTCTGATGAACACGCACATGGCAGAGGGTACACCCCTAAGGGAGCATGCTCTCAAGGTCATGGCGCAGCTGAATGAGCTAGAGGTTCTTGGAGGTTTTATTGACGGGGAAACCCAGGTCGATATCATGCTCCAATCTCTGCCGAAGAGTTTTGATCAGTTCCGGTTGAACTATAACATGCACAAGATGCATATGGCTCTTCCAGAACTGTTGTCAGAACTCCAGTCGGCTGAGGCCTTGTTCACTCAGAAATAAGTTGTGATGGTTGCCGAGCAAGCCGGACCTTCCAGGCCTCACAAGGGCAAGAAGAAGAAGAAGGCTGCAGGAAAGGCAAAGGAACAAAACACCCAGTTAGTGCCTCAACAGGCTGTGGCAAAGAAACCGAAAGGTAGATGCCACAAATGCAATAAGTCAGGGCACTGGAAGGTCGATTGTCCTCTCCTCAAGAAGGGCAAAGAAGGTAACTCTCATACTTTCATCGTAGAAACATGTTTAGCGGTTGTATCTACCAGTACCTGGTGTGTAGATACTGGAGCCACTGATCATGTCTGCAATTCTTTGCAGGGGTTCCAGGAAACCAGGCGACTTAGGGATGGAGAGATTACTGTCTACATGGGCAATGCTACGAAAGTAGCAGCAGTTGCAGTGATAGTAGTTACTTTAGTATTTGATACTAGTATTTTGGTTTTGAACAATTGTCTTTTTGTTCCAAGTTTTAGGAAGAATTTAATTTCAGTTTCTAAACTTGTTTTGAATGGTTATTCAGTTTCGTTTAATAACTCAGTTGTTATTCGTTATGGTAATCATTTGATTTGTTCTGGTTCAATGGTTGGCAATTTATATGTTCTGAAACCAAAGTCTCCCACACTACAACAAAATGAATCGAATAATGTCTCGACTAAAACTAATAAGAGAAAAAGGTCTTCGATGAATCAAGCATATCTTTGGCACCTTAGGCTTGGGCACATCAACCTTAGGAGGATTCAAAGGTTGGTATCTACTGGGCATCTTGGTCCAGTGGAAGATCATTACCAGACTTGCGAGTCCTGCCTAGAAGGTAACGTGACCAAGAGGCCGTTTTCGGCAAAGGGGCGAAGGAGCCAAGAAGTGCTAGGATTGATTCATTCTGATTTGTGTGGTCCTATGTCGATCCAAGCTAGAGGAGGCTATGAGTATTTCGCCACTTTTATTGATGATTATTCTAGATATGGATACATTTACTTGTTGCACCGCAAGTCCGAATGCTTTGAGAAATTCAAGGAGTATAGGACAGTTGTGGAGAAACAACAAGGTAAAAGTATCAAGTGTCTTCGATCTGATCGAGGAGGCGAATACCTCTTTGGAGAGTTTAGGACATATTTATCAGAAGCAGGGATTGAATCCCAGTTGACTGCACCCGGCACACCCCAGCAGAACGGGGTTGCAGAGCGAAGAAATAGAACTCTTATGGAAATGGTTAGGTCGATGATGAGTTATTCGAAGTTACCAGATTTGTTTTGGGGATTTGCATTAGAGACAGCATGTTACATTCTGAATTCTGTTCCTTCAAAGTCAGTAGACAGTACTCCTTATGAGTTGTGGAAAGGGCGCAAGCCTAGTTTCTCACAAATTCGAATTTGGGGTTGCCCTGCACATGTCTTAGTGCAGGAGGCTGGCAAGTTGGAGAAACGATCAGAAGTGAGACTGTTTGTCGGCTATTCCAAGGAAACGAAAGGTGGTTTCCTGAGGATCAGAAGGTGATCGTTAGTACGAACGCTAGATTCTTGAAAGAAGACTATATCATAGATCATAAGCCCAGTAGTAAACTTGTCCTAGAGAGGTTAGGGAGAGATATCGATAGTTCCCCACCAAGTGCGCAAGTAGATAAATCACATAGTACTGCAACACGTAACACTGATAGTGTGCCAGTGCAGACGGTACCTCGTCGTAGTGGGAGGGTTTCTACACATCCCGACCGATGGATA